AACTGGCAAAAAAGGACAGCATGTAAACTTTCTTAACCCTTTTACGAGCCACTTTAGTAAACTATAGTATACAAATATAGGATATTCGGTATCAAAAGGAGGCATTTTGCCTCCTTTAAGGCGAGTGATGGACCACCTTCAAATCTTCCAAGTGTGATTTTCTAGGTTTTTCTATGCCCATAACGCAGTGATGGCATTAGAAAATTCTTTCCGTAAAAGGTTCAAACATTTTTTTATTTCAAATTCTTTCAACGAACGTTTGAACATTAAAACGAAGCAAAACCCTTTCTAATCGAATAGAAATGCATTGGAGCAACTACAGCAGCAACGCTAATAGTAGCGTCGTTCAGTTAGATGCGTTTGCAAATCACTTTCGCACTCTTGTTTTAAGACTGGACAATTGGACCTGAAGGAAGCAAGCGCAGATGGAGGATGCACAGGTGATGCTCCGGACGCCGGGGTCCCTGTCGACGCTGTCTTTGTTGATCCGCAAGTGCCCAACGCATTACATTACACGCTGTGAACTACTGGAATCCAGTGCAAGACGTAGTAAATGCATTACCTCGTCCCCTCACGAAATGTGGAGTTGTTTTATTGAGGCTTCAAAACGACAAAGGGGAGCGAATATTTCGAGTTCGTCCTGATCTTATTCGACTGCTTCAAGTAAAATGTAGCCATATTCCAATCAACACTGAGGACAACGAAAAAAAAAAGTGGTTCTCACTATTTTAGTTATTAATACATGCATCAGTTTAAAGCACGGTGTACACCGTATCGGGATGCACGGATGTCATGTGCGACTTGGATGCGCTGCTGATATTGGCCGGAGGTTTGCCGCTTGCTTTTGTCCTCCTGCACGACGTACTTTGGTTTACTGAATAGAGGCCCTTTTTGTCATTTTGGGGGTATACTTTCATCAAGTAGCACGCTTTTCATACTTAGTAATGCGGCATTTCGAACGTTCTTGAAAAAAATTTGAAATCCAATTGAAGTTCGTTTAAACGTTCGTATTGCCATCCCTGCATAACGACCTGTCGTAATCGTACTTAATTAAAATAAAAGGAGGCATTTTGCCTCCTTTAACATGGATACATCATCGTACTTAGTTGAAAACCAGGAAAAAGGAGCATTCTGCTTCCTTTTAAAGCGAAAGGTTAATGATGTCACCCTCTCGTACAAATACTAAATACATACCCATTTATGATGATTGTAAAAAAAGTAAGAAAAAATATGGAATCTAAAGGAAATATGTATCTAGCATTGGCTAACAGTTTACTCGTCACGCACCAAAGGTGCATCAGCAACGACGTCGGCACTCTTGATCACGCTGCCCGGTCGGAATGATCCCCGCTCGTGCAAACCCCTTGACAATCGTGTCGGCCTTGACACTTTCCCACGCTTTAACGACGAAGCGTGACTGTAGCGCTCTCTTCTCAGTTGTCGATGCTGGAAATGGGTTATCTGGACATCACCTATGACTCAGTGAGTCTTATGCTCACGTCAGCTGAAGGATCCCAGTAGATAAGATGTTGAAGTAGTGTACAACTCTTATATAATATATTTAGGATCGATGCGGCTGTAGCTTGACGGCAAGGAGAGAATTTATCACATGTGTAATCTCCTTCTCCTTGCCAAACACTGCAAACAAGATCCCGGAGCTGAGGCCCCGCTAGACAGCGTTCAACTTCCTACTCTATCTACTTCAGAATGAGCAAACGTCAGGATAAAAAGCACCTTACATCAATATGGCCGGCAAAATGACTATAGATTTCACTGTAAATCCCACTATTGACGTGGTGCACGTTACAGATACTGCTATTTTTTATATTTAGCATTAACCTATTTTTTTGGAGTAGGCAGTGAAATCAACGGTTTCAGAGCATCGGTTTTTCTCGCTGCATCGGCCACAGGAGCCAAACTCGTTCCGCTGGTAGTTTTCGCTGGGGTACCCGGAGGCCCAGTCTCTCAAGAAATGTGGAATCCGGCCTTTGAGTCTCCTCAGGCGGAGCATACCGTTAAAAAGAAGCGTTTTGCAACGAACAAGTGATGATGGAATGGATTGAGCGTAAATTTATAATTTTTATATTTTGTTTTTTTATAAAATTATTTTTTTGATGAACATTTTACCTTTGTTTTGATAGGTTTGGCAACCAAGCGTTGACGGATGCCGACTGCTCATGCTTGACAGGCTTAAAGTCCATTGAATGGGTTCGGTGAGAGCGGCACTGGGTAAATCCTGTACGCAGGTGCACTTTGTGCCCCCGGAATTACGGGTTTGAGTCAACCCATGGACGTTGCTGTGATGACGTTCAAGGACGCCTTCCGGTACGTCGTTATATTATTTACTGTCAATTTATATGAATGTATTAACGTGTATTAACAGAGCCCAAATGCATTTACTAAGTACCTAACCACATACGGCACAGATTCGTGGCAGGCTTGCCAATTCGGAGCACTCCCGACATATACAACTTATCCTGCAAATCGCTCAAAGTAACACATATATTAGGATGTTAGGGTCCCTATTAGAAATTTGCTAACTAATTGAGCATCTACTATCCTACACGGAAAATGCAGTGCATGGCACCAGGCGAGCATTCTCAACTTGTCATGGCGACCCGTACGTGGTGCTGCACGGGCTCCCAGCTAGATTGCGGCTAATACTGAACCTGGGGCTGATACTTGGACTTGCTCTTGGCCGAGTTCTCGTACTAGTACCGAGTTGCAGTCTTGCTCTTCTGCTGTCTCTATACTCCTCCCTCTTTCTCTTCTTTTCAGCTTCAATACCAGCGCCAATCTGCCTCAGACGTTCCTCATAACGGAGAAAGCTGTCACCGTCTTCACGCCTAAGAGGACGAAAGCGAACGTTGAGGTTAGTCAAAGCCACACACACTCTAAAATACATGTTGTAGATCTTGTGGTTCCATTCCCACTTGTGCGAGTAACCCCCCCCCCCACTACCACCACCACCACCACCACCACAGTCTTGAGTCTGCCAAAATAGTTTTCCACCACCACTCTGTCATGGGAAATTCGGTCATTCTCTCGTAAAACATCGTAACTCAACGGGGGAGAGTTGCGAGCTTTCTTCGTGGGTTGGATCGCCATGTACTCTCTCGCTAAGCCCTGGTATCCTTTGTCTACCAGGACGGCCCAGTCGGTTTTGTATTGCTCAGCTGATGGGCCAGAGTCATTCAATTCAAGTTCGTTTGGCGCTTTCCTCATTGCACCTAGATGGAACTCCTTGTTGTCGCAGAATATGGTGACGTCGGCCGTTGCTTCAGGCTCGCGATTCGTGCAATTGATTGCGATTCCTGCTGGTATCACCGAAACCTCCACCTTGAATCCATGAAGGTGGTGCTTTCCGCTGTAGTATTTCTTCACTTGTTGAAATCCACCCGCGGGTCTGTTTGTTTGCTGAAAGGTCAGGTCAGTTGCATACCACGCACACGGGAAGTTCTCGAACGTATTGCTAGACAGTGTCATTTTCTTCATTGTATGTCGTTTTTCTCCGTCAATCACGAAGGTTTGATATAAGAACGTCTCCAGCAGTGCAAGGAACTTCCCGAACATCTTCTGAAACGGGGACGGATCAATACCAAACATTGATGACGCTGTATCCCAACTTCCGCAGTGCTTCAGGACAGCAAGTGTCATAAACAGAATGTTCTTTTGGGCTAACCGCTATTTTTCCCCCTTCCGACGTTCCAGTTTGCCAGGACGTGATCTTCGCCAGTTTCCCAAAGACGCTCAAACTCGATTGGTGAAAAGTTGCACATTCGTAGCACTCTATCAGGACCTTGAACACGTAGACAGTAGTCGTACTTGGGCGATGGAGTTATCAACTCGTCGTCGGAGTCACCGTGGTTGGCAGGGAGGGGGACGTGAGCAAAGTTTCTCTGTCGTTTGTCTTCTACGACAAAAAGAGCATCCCAACGAGCACGTTCGGCTGTTTCCACTTCCTCTTCTGTCCGTTCGTCCGATTTCGGGATGATGGCATGCCAATCGTGATGCTGCTTTGCCAATTTGGAATTGAGTCGTCTAAATAGGACTTTGCTTGAAGCGCGGAGAGTACAGCCTGACGCGGTGGTGCTCCCTATCTACCACATGGACGGTTTTTTTTTTTGGCATTTGGGCACCATATTCGACTATGATGGTAAAATCACATTGCACATGGGCATCCAACAATTGCGGTAGGGTATGTAACCGGTTACTTTGTATCAACGCCTCAGCTCTAACGTTCTGCTTTTGCTGTGTGTGCTTTTTTTTTTAACAAAAGGAGAATTTACCTTACCTACCATGTAACACTCCCCCTTGCTCACGGAGCCCGTCTCAACCTGCAAGCCCGAATCGTAGCTCTGCAGACGTTTCTCAGCTGACGAACATCGTAGCTACTAAACCCATTGCGCACGACCTTCGTACAGCAATGCCACGCGACCATCGCGCCAATAGCTCGTACATGAACATCAGTACTGTTGCCAAATCACCAACGCAACATCGTTGATCGCCGTCCTAGAGATACCATCTCCACCCGTGTACCAGCACCAATGAGCTTGAGTTTGAATGGAACTTCACCATCATCCACGTAGCATAAATACCATCGTCCTGGGTAGACGCGCCCTTCGCTCCCCTTAGCTCAGCACGACGAACCACACCAAGTAAATTTCGGAAATACTCGAACTTGACTCTGGCCAGTGGCTTAATAAAGATATCCGCTGTCATGTCGTTAGTTCCGCAATGCTGCACTGCTACCAGCTCTC